GATTATATAGTTTAGGCATTTTAAAAATCACTGAAAAGATGAATATTGCATAAATTTCGTGTAAATTTTAATTTTGTTACAATTATAGTGATTCATTTTAAAATTAATAAATTTTACTTCTGTTTAACCTAACCTAACCTAAATTAAATCAATATATATAAATTTAAATACTATTGTATTTTATATATATAATTGTATTTTATTATATAATTGTATTTTATATTTGTTTAATTTATAAATTTTAATAACAATTTTTAATAACAAATGAAATAACATCAAACATATTTAATTTAAATTTAATTTAATTATTGTAATTAATATAAACGAATTCTAAAGTTAATATTGAAATTACTTAATCTTATATGTATAATATAATTTATATAATATAATTTTGTATAGCCGACTGTTGGCATCAAATGCAAATATCATTTATTTATCATATCACTTTTAAATTATTTTTTGTGTATATTACGTATAAGAAAAATTTATATATGTACATAAAATTCTATTCTTATTTAACTTAATGATAAAAGAAAAAAAAACACTTTAAATATTTGTTAGAAATTAGAAATATTTATCATTGATAACGTTTACTATTATCGCAAAATCTTAACGTTTAAATAAAACATAATTTAGCACAAAACAAATTAATTTCAATTCTATTTTAAACAAGATTGATCAAATCCTTATCAACTGTTCTCAGTTTTATTTGCTGTCTGATATGATTGTTCCGAAATTTTACGGCATTAAATTTTCTGTCACGTTGTTTTTCCTACGTCACATTGTAAGTCTCAATTCGCTCGCTGACCCGGTAGTTTTCGTTTTTATCATTTGGACTATTGCCAAAAGATGGAGACGCAATTAAATTTCGAACGAGTAATCTTCTGATAAGAAAATCAGGAAATCAGATAGAAAGATAGAAAGATAAAAAGGAAGATTTTATATTGTACTTTCATATATTTTGTTAGATTTTATTTTTTATTTTATACATATGCTGAAGAAAAATTAAATTAGCATAAGGAAATTAAAATTTAATCTCTACTCTTTTACATTTCTACGTTTTATGAATTAGAATTAACTTTAATCTTTTTCCAATTTTGATCTTATTTCAAAACGAAAAGACTTTTAATTTTTTAAAACTTTGTCATAAAATTCAATACAAAATCACGTATATAAATAATGATTTTTTTCATAATTTATTTTCATATTTTTCTCAAACTTGAGAAATTTTATTAGTAATAAAAAAGCATTGTATTGTAAATAACTCCAATGGTATTACAAAGTTAAAATTGTCCTAACTGTAAAATATGTATATATTTATTCCTTTTCTTTCGAAAATAGTAATTGTTGTTGTAAAAAATTAGATATTAATTGAATTTTGAATGCCAATTGTTATTGGAATCGTTCTTACGCGTGTTAAATCTTTCAAATAATTACGTGGTAACCGTTATATTTTAACAATTGAACATTCATACTATCAGGCGGAAGTATGAATTTATATTGTATTATACCTCTTTTATTTGAGAAATGTTTTAAAATTTTGCAAATATTATTGTAGAAATAAATTTTTAAAATACGAAAATCCTATAATTTTTTTAATTTTTTTAATTATAGAATATAATTATAGAATATAAATATATATAAATAAATATATAAATATATATAGAATATAAATATAATAAAAATTTTCATCATAATTTGTCATTAATTTTGAAATTGAATTTTAATTCGCAGAGGCAGTTAATTTATTCGTTATATGTTAATACAATAAATTCAAATTCAAGTTATAGAATCTTCGAAATAGTTATTCAATTGTATTTATACACGGAAGAATTTAAAAATTCTTTCAGAAATTTTCTTTCTTTTAGAAGTAATTAAAATTTCCAGATAACTAAAATTGCAAAGACAACTCAGGTTGGAAACAGATAAACATATTCTACTCCATACGTATAAGATGCTCTCGTAATTACCGTAAAATATGTGATTTAGCTGTTTTGCCGAACTGATTTTCAGTAAAATATTTATTCGGAATAAATAAAAAAAAAAAAAAAAGCAGTTAAACCAGTATTGACCAATACATCGCTGAAATTCCGGATTAAGAAGAACGTAAAGACAGAGCGGACTCACCGTAGGTTTTTTAGTATGACATCTTCGGTGCCGAGTTGTTAACAAAAATGTCGCTCACAATTTTCGGCCCTGTTGTCGACGCAGTCCAACCTAATGTGCAGTTACACCACGAATTATCCCGATCACGTTCAGTTACAAAAAGCACAGGACGATATGCATTATGACACACGATGCTCGACTTCCACGTCTTTCACCGGGAGACGATGTATGCTCGTATACCGAAACTTGTGTTGATTCACGTTTACTCGATAACACGGCTCGCTAATTACGAGGTCTCTCCACTTCGAGAATACGTCATACAATGCTGTAGAATGTTTAAGTCGCTCCGTAAGGGAGAAACACGGCAACATATAGAGACAAACAATTACAGGCAATCATATGTGTTATGTTGCGACGGCGAAGCCGGTATAAACGTTCTAACTCAAAAAATATCTAAGCTAAGAGTGTGACATCAGACCAAAGAGAAAGGGACGAGAAACGTGCGATCGAAATAACTCCCCCCAGCAACAACTGCACTGCTCATGCAACAGCATCCGACTGCTTTGCATCAACATCATGGGCAACCTATGCAGCTGTGGCGACGTCTGGTGTAATTCTACAAATCAGCGCTGATAGTTTCTAATTTTTTCTGAATTTTTGACAAAAGTTAAGATGTTCTATAGGATATTTAATGAAAATTATTTATAAAATAAATTAATTACAATTTTTTTTATTAAAAAAAATATGAAAATTATTATTTATTGATTATTATTAACGTGTAATTGATCAATAATATTATGTAAAAAAAAATGATTTAATTTTATTTTTTAAATTATGAATGATGTAATTTTATTTTTTAGAATGATTATTTTTTTACTCATATTATTATTGAGTAATTATTAGTTTTTAGTTTTATTAAAAAAGTTATTAGTTTTTTTATTATAATTTTCTTTATCGATTGTAGAAAAGATTGTCGATAAAGAAATTTTATATATTTTTTTATAATAAAACTGGATTTAAATATAATATAAATTAAAATTAAACTTATTTATATATATTGCTAATATATAATTCTATATATTAGGATCTATACAATAAAGACGATTTAAAAAATAAAAAATTTTAAAATAAAAAATAGAAAAATTTTATTATTAAATCATATGGAAGTCCCAAAATTCTTCATTTTTATTTTTTCTCGCTTTTAATTATTAATCAAATATCGAAGCCCTTTTCTTGAGCACATAAAATTTATAGAGCAAGTATAGATAAGAAAAACAAATAATAAAAAGGATAAAATAAGAATAAGATAGAATAAAAATTAAAGAATCAATATCATTTCTAAAATACTGCAAATGAAATAATATGAAATATAGACGAAAAAAGCAAATTTATAGATTCATCTTTTAAGCATCAAAGACATTTCTTCATAAAATAAGGATAAAATACAATAAGAATTAAAAATTAGTGCCATCTTTTGAATATTTTTAAAGAGATGGCGTTAATAGCCAATTCTTATCTGTGTTTCTTTTCTTACTATTTATTTTCCTTATTTACACTTTATTTATTTATGGAATTGATTTTTTAGTTACATTCTTCTCATTAGATTCTTTCTTTGTCTTTTAGCATGTGATATAATGCCAATAGCAATAGATATGAAATGTCATTTAAGCTTTCATGATTTCTCTTTGAAAACCAAAATATGTAATGTAAAAAAAAATAATATATTGTAAGCTTTACAATATTTTTGATCATATTAAGCTTTACAATATTTCTAAGCTTTACAATATCTTTGCAAAATATAATATATCCTGTGTATAATATATAATTGTGAGTTTTTTTAAATATTCTATCGAAAAATGACGCTTCGAAGATTTGTTTGTCAAATTTATTCTTTTATTTGTAATCTTGTAAAAAATATTCTTAAAACATTCAGTTAATTGTTCAAACTTATTATATATATATACAAAGAAACAAAAACTTAATATAATAGTATATTATCACAATAGTTCATATAAATGTAATCATATGTAAAATGCAGTATTTTATATATAATACCTGCAAAATATTTTATAAAATATTTATTCTATTTTTTATTCATAATTTTACATTTTTTTAAATTCCAACCATTATTAATGATATAATTTGAAATGAATAATGAAAATGACACTAAAATATATATTATTGATCAATTGATTTTTTAATAAATCCGTTAAATATGATAATAAATAGATAATGTAAAATTATATATAATAGTGTTCATTAATATAATGATTTTTTGAATTTTTGAATTTTGAATTTTTGAATTTTGAATTACAATTTTGAATATACATGTCTATGTTATTGAAAAACAATGTTTATATGAATAACATATACATTAATTATGAAAATATAACGTATTATTATATATAAGTTGAATATTATTAGAAGTAATAGTAATGCAATATTGAGATATATATGAATTATCCAATTTTTTAAATATTTTTTTTATTTATTTTAATTTTTAAAGCTACATTAATTCATTTGATGAAAACTTAGAATATATTTAATCAATCGTTATCAGTAACTTTGCTGTGTATATACGTAGCAAATATGTTTATGACTAATATATTTTGATCTAACTAAAGAATGTATGTAATTTTATAATTAATAATATTTAATTATTAAATTTATGTCATGTCAAAATGTCAAAATCGATCGTTAATAATCTCCTATGTAACTATAACGTGAATATAGTCGTAATAATCGTTAAGTGTAGAGTGTATATCTCAATCTTGTATATCGCGCTCATACTTTATAATTGTGTATGTGATAAATCTCATTCACTCATACACATGAACTCGCGTCATGTGATTACCCTATGTTAGCCGCAGTATGATTCTTTCTGCGTCAGTGGCTCACGATGTGCGCTATGCGATGGTTGTGTGTTTTCTATCGCTATTTTAAAATGTCAAAAAAAACGTGAGATTTTCGACAATCACGTTATTCACGATTGAAAACTCCAAATGCAACGAATTGTATGATTCCAAGGTAAGACAAATGTCAATGTTTTAATAAAATTTTTGCAACACTTATATACTGTACTTTTCTATACTGTAAATCATTAATATGTCTGGCGCTTCTTTTTGGGAATTGTTATTTGAGATTTATTCCACGTTGGCTATTTATATGATGATATGAATGTTTAATAATTGATCTTTGTTATCAAAATTTTAATCAATATTTTATTATATTACAGTATTTTGTGATTTTGTTAATATTTTGATAATATTAATTATCTATTTATTATATAAATAAATTAAATTTTTAATGAATTTTTAATAATATGTAATTTTAAAGATAAAATACTTGAAAATATAAAATATTTTAAATTATTATTTCTTGTTAGTTTATTTTTTGTTATTGTTGCTAATCTTATGCTAAAATAATTATTTTTATTTAATAAATATTTTACTTAATTTACAAATTTAATTCTTTTATTTTATGTAATTATAAATAAAAAAAATATATACATAAATATGTATATATTTAATAAGCAAGTGAAATATTTAAATAATAACACAAATACTAATTTGTGTGATGTTTTAATGTGAAAATTTTAACTGATATACATTATGTCTATTATATTATATTAATTTATTATATTATTATTAAATTAATATTATATTAATTTATGTCTATTATAACATTAAAATAATAATTATTATTAAATAGTATAATATTATAATTATTAATATTAATTAATATATGTATAATTAGGACCAAAGATGTCAAAACGACTGAGCTTCTATGGTCTAGTAGGCCTGGCATCCCTTTGCATCTTCTTCTTAGCATTTAATCAACGCTACAGCAGCTACCTTGAGCATCGACTTCAGCCGGTGATATCGGTCAGTAAAAAATCGGAGGTGGGGATTGCTCTAAATTGAGTCACGCCAAACACGCTCTTTCCGATGGTAAAGTCTAACTTTTGCACCTAACTTTTTTCCACTTGTACACTAACAATGAACTGTCAAACCATTACAAACACTTACCAGATTTCTTTCTCCCTGTTTCCACCTTTTCCTATCCTTTCTTTAAACAACATTAGATATAGCAATTATTGAAGATCATTGGAAATATCCTGCTTAATTGATCACTGGGGTAATTTGATACTAATCTTATATAAAAATTAACAAAAACAATTATATTTAACACATATACAGATTTTAAGTAATTAATAATGCTTCTTTTTTTTTGTGATTTATTTTTGTTTTATATATTTTGCACAATTTAATATTTCTTTTTAGTTTTACTTATTAAAAGTATTATTTATAAATTTTCTTTACTAAAAAAAATTTTACTTACAAATTTTACTTTATTTTTTATAATATATATATTATATTAATATATATAATTTTGCACCACTATATATTTTCAAAAGTAACTTATTACTACATAATGAAAGAGGGAGAAAGATATTATCCTGGTTACATCAGCAGCATTATTGTGTTCACAATATACTATATATTTTCATTGAATTATCAATATTTTCTTCAATTTAGGATGTGGAAATAAGGCCACGTATCATCAAAATTCAAGATCCAGCAACGGTAAGCAAAATGCATATGAAAGTTATATACTTTATTAATTTTATTCAATACAATAAATATTATAAATTAATTTCTATAAGTTAAAAAAACATTTAATGAAAAATTTTTAAAGATGGTAAATAAAACTATAAAATTTAAAATATTTTCTTTTCTTTTTTATAATTATTATATTTGATATATAGGTAAGTAAATATTTTTTGTGAAAAATAATTTTTTTATTCACGATACAAAAGTTAATATTGACATATTTATGTATGTATGTATGTATGATATTTATATGAATTTTGATATTGAGAATAAAAATATATATTTTATTTATTTATATTTATTATTTTTAGTGTGATTTAAACATAAATAAATAAAATTGAATCTTATATAATCTAAATATATATATTATATGTGCTATTTATAGGCATACTTTAGATCTATTGAAAATATTACCCTTTCTGAGATACAAGAAGTTGTTGATCAACAGAGAAAAACAATCGAAAAAGAAATGGAAGGATATAAATATCCCAATGGAAAATATGGAGTTAATGTCAGGTGTGTTTCATAATTAAATTTTATAATTAAAACATTAATATAAGTATTTATTTGTAATCAATAATTCTTATAGTAAATTGGAAGATTTAATATTAGAAAAAGGAGGAAGACCTATGAGAAGTGTAATTTTGACAAGTTGGCGAAGTGGAAGTACGTTTCTTGGGGATGTAGTTAATGCACATCCAGCAAATTTTTATCATTATGAACCTCTACTTGATTTTGGAATTGTACAGATTAGGGGGCCACCACTTGCTGATGAAGCACTTAGTAATCTTGAAGCATTACTAAAGTGTGATTTTAATAATCTTGGTTGGTACATTTTCTAACATATGAAAAAAAAATGCATAATCAAATAAAATGCATTTTTTCATTTTTTTTTTTTTTTTTTTAATATTTTTTTTCTCCAGATCGATATTTAGATTATGGCAAAACACATCCTTGGGTCTTCAATCATAACACGCATTTATGGAAACAATGTCAAATTCACAAAAAAATTTGTTGGGATCCACGATTCGTTTCTAAATTTTGCAAATTATTTCCCTTTCAGTCGATGAAAATAGTTCGTTTACGATTGCGTGCTGCAGAAAAACTGTTACAACAAGAAGAGTAAGAATAGTTTACTTTTCTTAATTAAAATATAATTATCTCTCAAAAAAAATAATCTTTTTTTAGCTTAGGAATACGTTTAGTTCTATTAGTTCGTGACCCAAGAGGAATTTTGCAATCTAGAAAGCATCGAGAATGGTGTCCTACTAATCCTGATTGCTCAGATCCTGCATTAGTATGTGCAGATATGGTTTCGGATTTTAGTACAGCTGTACAACTGATAGAAAAGTATCCACATACCTTCAGGTACATGCCTTTCTTTTATAATCAATATTCCAAAAACATATGACATATTTTAAAAACAAATTTCATTAAAATAAAAATTTCGATTATTTAAATAATTTTAAAATAATTTATTTTTTTATTTAACAGGGTAGTACGTTACGAAGACTTATCTGTAGATCCCTACAGATATGTGAAGGAACTGTATAATTTCTATGGTTTAGATTTTCATATAAATGTAAAAAAATTTTTAGATACTCATACAAAAAATGACGTTGGCGGTGTTTCAAGCACTTTTCGAAATTCTAAAGTGGCGCCCTTTCATTGGCGAACAGATCTTGATTTTGAAGAAGTTGATGAAATACAAAGAGTGTGTGCAGCAGCTATGCAACTATGGGGATACGTTATGGCATCGAATTCTAGCCACCAAAAGGATTTCGATCCACTCACAGATTATCAATTGCAATTGTGATATGTGGCATAGTGTACGATAAATGTATAGTATCTGAATGTAACTGTGTAGAATGGTTATAATTATTAGCTTATCTGCACAGATATTGAGATTATCACAAGTGCCCTCATTCACATTGAAAAGGTGCTGATAGCTTGCTTAGACAAGCGCTTATGAATTCTTATGATCAATTCATTTTGCTGATCCATTTTGGATTGGTAAAAAAAGAAAAAAAATAGAAAATTATTGAACTTCGTAAGACCAATGCTAAAATTCGTTCCTTAAAAAATTTATAAGAGGTGCATAAGTGCTCTTCGAGCTTGTTGCATAATGAATAAAATCGACCTCGAACTATAGTCCAAAGTTTTAGGATTAAGAGCAGTTTCTAAGACTTTGGTATGCAACAAGGAAACATCCATATCAATGCAAATAATAAATATAAATAATAATCTTTTTTAGAATTCAAGTTTAAATTAATATCGCGGTCTTAATATAATGAATATAATTGTAATTCATTAGGATTTTCCATTGAAAAAACCATAAGATATTAAGCATTTGCATAAGTGTTATTTTTTACATGATATTGAAAGAAAATTGCATGTAATATATAATATTGTTTTATTATATAAATTTTTTAATTGTTTTAAAAATACATATACAGTACTTTTACTTGCAATATAGACAACATAAAAATGATCAATATTGTAATGTTTTTAATTCACAATTAATATTATTTTTTTTTATATATTAATTTTATTATTGTTTTCTAAAATGCATGTAAAATAGAAATTTTTAAATTTATAACACAAGTTTGTAAATAATTAGCATTAAATATTGGTATATCCATTTTTCTATATATTATTTCAAAAATATTTTTTTTTAAGAATAGTTTCCAAAAAACCGGCCTTAAAATAAAAAATTTCAGACATTTAAATGAAAAACAATTTTTATTCAGATCATTCTTAAAGTATATCAATTATTTTATTACTTACATATTTTTTTACTCAATATATTATAACAGTTATTCGCATGAATTTTTAATAAACGTATATATTGTATTTTTTTTCGTATAATATTCCATTTAAGCAATAATTATTTGTTTACGAATTTATGAAGACAATTGCGTGTTAGTATTAGTTAAATACAAAGTTCAATATTAACATGAAATTAATTTGTATAATAATTATATATGCAATTAAATTTACTTCTATGCTAACAAAGTTTCCAATTTTACGGTACTGTTCATTGAATGTATTACCTTACTTTTTTACTTTTATTTTTTACTATGATTTTATTAGTAAGAAATGTAAGAAAATTTACAATAGTACTGGCATTATGTAATTTCATAATCAGTTTTATTAATAAAACAATCTAGTCTAAATTATTTTTGTTTTATTTTATAAGATTATACAATTATACATTTTTTATTATTTAAATTTAATTCTTAAAAATAAATTTTTTCAAAGTATAATTTATATGAATATTGAATATATTACAATTTTTATTATTTTTTTAATAGAAAAGCTTTTTATTTTTTATTTATTTAATACAGCTTTTTTTAAAACAAAAAATATAACGATTCATTGAGAGTTTTTTATATTTTCATTTATTTTTTTTTATTATTATCGTTTTTACATATTGCATACAAGTGATACAAGTATACAAGAAATAAAAACATATATAAAAAAAAGCTCAATATATAATTATATGTATATTATTAACAAAATAAAATAATAAAATATTTACTTAATATATAGAAATAAAATTGAAATTTTTAAATTATAAAATTATATACTTTAAATTAATCATATAGAACATGTTATACAATAATTTTAAAAATAAATTTGTATAAATTCCAAATAAAAAACAAATTTTTACTGGGATCACCTCTAATATTTTGTTCTGAAATAAAAATTAATATAAATTAGATTTTATACTAATAAATAATATAAAACTTGTGTACATTTTTAATTCAGTAAAAAAATTTATATCACTAAAGTTCATAGCGTATATTGAAGACATCATTATAATTATAATTTAACCCTTTGCTCTCCAACGGTGACTCTCCGGCACCATTGGGATTGTTGCGGCAACTTAAACGGAGACAATATTTATTTATGTTTGATTTTTTTAGAATATCGCTTCATAAATAGATTCCTAAGCTCTTTACATATAATCTTATTTTATGAGTAATTATCTTATAATAATCTTACGAGGAACGCACTGAACGCACCGAATGCGTGGGTCTGAGTCTGGAGTTGTTGATTCGACCGAGCGAAACAAGCCTGGAGTGCAAAGGATTAACTTGATTTTTAATAAATTTATTTAATACCTGTTTCTCATAAACATTTTCTTCTTGTACTTCCAAAAGTATCTATGCATAAAAGAATAAAATTTTATTAATTACATTAATTTATGCTAATTACGTAATTTGATTTAAAAATTTAAGATCAGTGAGGGCAAGTTGTAATCATATTATTATTCATATTAGCGTATATTATAGTGTAACATCATAATTTTTACTAAAATGTGCTAATAAAAATTTGGATTTTTATACACTTACTTACCATCAAATAATAATGATGTTATAATTCACGATTTTGGGAAACTAATAAAATAAATATATTATTAATTCTTTAAATTAATAAATAAATATTATCTAAATTTTATATTTCAATTACAAAAGATATAATCAGAAAAATAAATGACATCAAATCTATTCAGTCATATGCTTGTCAAATTAATCATCATAAAATAATTATTGTAATTTAAATATGAAATTGCTAATAATAAAAATTATTTACTTTTCAATTTATTTAAAAAACAGAAAACTTCATGGTTCCACATTAAAGTTATTATTTATAAATATATTTAATTTTTTCTGTAAGAAAATATAATTCAAATTAGTTACATAATATATTATTAAATTTATTCATAATATTAAAAATTATATCAGAAAAAATAAATATCACCATGTTTCTATGTAAGACAGGGATAACTTTTTAAATTATTCATCATAAAAATATTTTAACATTTTTTTATATATTAAAATAAAATTCTTAAAATTACCTGTTTAAAATATTTTCCTTCATTTATATTACATATCTTTTTTCATTCAATATTTATTTTACATTTTTTTTATATCAAAATTAAATTATTTAACCATTTTCTTTTTTTGTTTCTGAAAAAGAATATACATACATATCATTATGTATTTATATTATATATTATTAAAAATTATAAATTAAAAAATATAATTTATTCAGATTAACACTTTCTACATGATATTTCTGATTGACTGGGGAAGTTAATATATTCATCATATTTATAAATATATATAAAAAAAAAAAAATTTAATTTATAATGTATTTCATTCTAAATTAAAAATTTATAAAACAATAAAAACTTACCAGATTTATTAAATGATTTTACTGCAATAAACCTTATGATTTCCATTCTTTCCTATTAAAATATGAAATGAATAAATAGTTTACACATTGATCAATAAAATATATTTATATATGAAATTATTAGTTTTTATCAGAAAACTGAATCATTCAGATAATATTCAGACTGGGGCAGTAACATGACATCATGAAAAATACGAATGATTGAATTTTAGATTTGAAAAATAATAAATGAAATAAAAAAAATTTAAACAGAATATATTGGATAGAAATTAAAAAAACTAATACAAACTAAACATAGTGAAATAATGGTAAAGAAACGATACTTACCATAAAAATTGAAATAAAATGTTGATCTGCAAGAGGCCACCCAAAGCACGTTTTTAACTTTAACGATTTAAGCTAACTCTAGAAAAAAAAAAATAAATCGAATTCCGAATAATTGATATAATTAAATAATAAAAATCAATAAAATTCGTTAATGCTTTCAGACTTGTATTTCTAAGTTGTAATCAAGAAATACATCATACGAACGAGACTATTTATGTATCATCACATAAAACAAAAATTCAGAAAATATAATGGCAAATTAAAGAAAATATAATGATAAATGATCTAATATGAATATCAGTTGCATGAAAAAAGTTTTTTTTTTAAATATTTTTAATGATGCATATGATAAATGTGGATTATATAAAATATAAAACGATCTTACCTTACCACTATCTTTGTAGAAACCCAGAATGAAAATTCAATTCTGGTTTGATGTACCTTATATAGAAGAAGATCTTGGTTTACTTATATTCAAGAATGATCTTTCATTATTCGTTACATCGAGCCTGTCCTCTATAGGAATTGTTCTAAACTAAAAAATGAATTTTTTAATTTATTTTGCTAATTTATTTTTTTTAGAAAAAATATTAAATAAGATAAAAATCATATTATAATATTAATATATATACTTCCTAGTAATTAAAAAATAACTTTTTAATTAATTAAATTTTACTTTGAAACACAACAAAATTAAATATTTTTTTATAAATTTTAAGAAATAAAATATATATAACTGTCATAACTATCGGAATTCATTAATTAAAAAATTATGCATATAAATTTCAATTTTTAGAATATTTTATAATTTTAAAGTATTTTATAATTCTTGAATTATATTTTATAATTCTTTATATTTATTAAAATTTATAAAAAGATATTTAAAAAATCAAAAAATTTTTATTTTAGTGATTGAAAATGAAATATAATTTTAATCAATTAAAAATAAAAACATACCAAAAATTTCTCTCTCTCTCTCTCTCTCTCTCTCTCTCTCTCTCTCTCTCTCTCTCTTTGTTTTATGAATGTGAAATGCATAAGTACCTCATTTTATTACCTTATATGTTTATTAAATAAACAGAAAATTTATCATATATGATATGTATGATCATAAAAGTATAATTTAAAAACTTTAAAATATTTGTAACATAATATATTTAAAGTTTAAACCTACATGATGAAGTAAAAGAAATTGCGACGAAAGTTTTATCCATCAATATATCGATATATTACATATTAATTTATAATTTTAATTTTAAGAAATTTTCGAAATGAATGGACTATCAGAAGATGACTCTGATAGTAGTAATGAATATCTGATTGATCCAAATAAAATTAATTTAAATTCCAATTTCTTCATAAAAAACAAATCAAATATTGGGACAATTGTAAATAAAGATGATACTGAAAATGAAAGTACTGATAAGGAGGAACTTGAGAATATCACTCATTTGGATAATATCGAACTATTCACTCAAGTTTTAAAAAATTTAGAAAATTCACAAAAACTTGAACTCAACAATAAAAATACCGAAAAAGAACAATCACATTTAGATTATCTCACAAAAAAAAATGAAGAAGAGATACAAAAAGTAAAAGAAATAAGAATCACATCATCAAATGAAATAAATGAACTTCTGCTTCAAGGTGAGAGTAGTATAAGTTTATCCTGTAAAAATACCACTGAAGACATAGCAAAAAATGAAGAAGACGCAGAATCTTCTAATGAATATACTATCCCAAAAGATGGTGTTAAAATTACTTTGCCAAACACTAATTTAATAATAAACAAAAGAAAGAAAGGTAAGCAAGATTTGAAAGCAATTTTGAGAAAACGATTAAAAGAAAGTCAGATATTGATAGAGAAAGTAGGATTGCTCTGTTGGTTAGCTTATGGATTTTACTTAAATCATCAAATAAATTTACCTGAAATAATGACTGGTGTATTATCATTAATTTCTGAATCTAATTATCCAAAAAATAGAATTGATCTATCATACTTAGAAAAATTTACAAGATGGTTCAAACATATATTTATATTTGAATCTGTTGAAAGCAATGCTAATAAAAAAATTGATAAAGAAACTTTATTAAAAATAGTGAAGGAAAAAAAAATTTCTAATTACAAAGAACTAATATTATTATACATTGCTACATTGAGAGCTTTAGGTTTAAATTGCAGATTAGTTATTTCTCTTTGTCCTCCTCATCGAATTTTTAGTAATAGCCCATTATTTAAATCTGATGTAAAAAATGAAGAAATTAAATCAAAAAATATATCTAATAAAATCAAACAAGAAAATTCAAAGAAAAAGAAGAAAAAAAAGGAATCTTCTGAAAGAACAAATGTAGTTCAAAATAGTCCAGAAGCAAAAAAAAATAGAAATGCAGAATCTAGAAAAAGGGCAGCTGAGATTTTACATTCAAAATTAAAAAATAATAATAAAAAATTTAAATTTGATACTAATCAAGATTTCAAAATTGAAAATAAATTAATTCAAAAATTAAATTCTAAAATCACAGAAAAGAAAGATAAATTAAAATCAGTTGAAAATGAAAAAAATATATCCAATTTAAGACAATTAAGATCTCGTAAAATTCATATTAATTCTAAAGATAATGAAAAAGATAAAGAAATAAAATCTACAGATTTGATTTCAAAAACTGATGGCACAAAATCAAAATATTATATAAAAGAAAGTTCTACGGATTCTGAAACAGAATTTGAACCAAAAATAAAACATATAACAAGAAAAAGTTTAAATAATATTAATAAGGAAGAAGCATCACAAAGTTCTTTGAATATTAAAAAAAATAATAGAAAATTAGTATCTTCTGACAGTGAAGATGAAGAAATAAATAATATAAGAAATAGACAAGATATTTGGGCTGAAATATATTTAGATTCAGAAGAAAGTTGGATTTGTGTAAATGTAATGGATGAAAAAATTCATTGCATAACTGACATATATGTAAATAATTTATTAACTCATATACATATTTACAAATATATCATGATAATGATAATATTTTATTTTAGAAAAAAACAACAAAGCCTGTATTATATGTAGTTGCATGGAACTCTGAAAATTTAATAAAAGATGTATCTAGGCGCTATTGTCCACATTGGCTTACAGTCACATATAAACAACGAGTTGATGAAAAATGGTGGCTTAAAACCTTATCTTATTGGAAAGAAAAGGATACTGCTATTTCTAAAGCTGAAGATGAAATGTTATTACAAAAGTATTCAAAATTAAATATTCTTATTTATTAGAAATATTATATTCTTTTATAATTTTTTTTTTATAATTTTTATCCTGAAAAATTTTATTTATATTGCAGAGAATTAGAACAACCATTGCCTAAAACAATTAGTGAATGCAAAGGCCATCCATTGTATGTCATTCAAAAACATTTACTTAAATTTGAAGCATTATATCCTCCTGATTGTGTACCTTTAGGATATACTTCTACAGGTTGTGCCATTTACTCTCGTCATTGTGTACATACTCTTTATTCAAGGGAAACTTGGTATAGAAAAGGCAGAGTTGTAAAATTAGATCAAGAACCTTATAAAATAGTTACAGCTCGTCCAAAATATGATAAAGTAATAATATTATTTTAATATTGTCTTATATAAATATTTATAAGTTTATAAAAAATATTATTAAAAATAAAACATTTAAAATTATTTAATTATAGCTTTCAGGAACAAAAATTAAAAACTCACCATTAGAATTATTTGGTAAATGGCAAACTATGGAATATGAACCTCCAGTAGCTAAGAATGGTATTGTTCCTCGAAATGAATATGGAAATGTAGATTTATTTCAATCATCCATGCTTCCAAAAGGCACTGTTCACATAAATCGTAAGTTCTTAAAATTAAACAATAATAAAAGTTAAATACTTTGCCATAGTTGAATTTTTAAATTGACATTTATTCAAATCTAAATCATTATATTATGTTATGTAAAACTTTAACATTTATTTTCTTGAAAACGAAATATTAGATATTTTTTTTTCAATTTGTTTTTTCTTGTAGAATCATTCTTTTTCATAAAATATCTGAATATTATAATATACTATTGGTATATCTGAATATATTAATAAAACCATTAGTTACAAACTAATGATAAAATAATTTATTTATGATTTTTAATATGTCTTATATAAAGATTAAAAATAAATAATATAGAAATTAAAATTATATATAATATATATAATATATGTGTAATGTATATTATAATTTAGTTCCAGGCTTATATCGAATCGCTCGAAAACTTAACATCGATTGTGCACCTGCTGTAGTAGGTTTTAATTTTGGATCTATGGGTGCAACACCTGCAATGGAAGGTTACGTTGTTTGCATTGAATACGAAGATATATTGCGAGAAGCTTGGGAAGTTGAACAAGCTGAAGCAGTTAAACGAACCAAAGAAAAGAAAGACAAACGAGTTTATGGAAATTGGAAGAGATTGATTCAAGGTTTGTTCATAAGAGAACGATTAGTAGCAAAATATGAATTTTCAAAAGAAAAAAAATTAATAACTAATAAACAGACAAAACAAAAAGAAAATTGGCATAAAGAAAATTAAATCTTGAATAGTAAAAAAATCATTTAAATGTTCTTTAATAAAAAAAAGATAATAAGAATAAATAGAATATTAAGAATAGTTATATAATATATAGAAAAACATTAAAATAATATCTCACTGTGATATTTTCTACTTCATTAATTATTTCTATCAATTTTTTATCATTAACAATAAAGCATTATTATTACAAGCATTCATATCGTTTGGCATTATTTTAGCAATAAATCACTATAATAAAAAAAATAAAATTTTTATTTATTATTATTTTTTATTTTATAATCAGAAAATTATTGTAATCGAATTATTAAAAATTTTTTCAATGAAAATAATATTAAACATGATATTAAACAAATGATGTTAATCTGAATGAATTTAAATTATATAAATAGCACACAATGTATACCTATAAATGAATTACTATAAAAAAAAATTGAGATTTTCTTTATATTTTTTTTTAATATTTTTTATAAATTCAAAAAATAAAATAAAAAAATAATTAAAAATGAAAAATTTATTATTTATAAAATACGATTATTAAATAAATTATTTATCATGTATTATTTAGATTAAGAATATATTGAATCTGAGAAATTTTTTAATGATATTATTAAGAAGTATTTTATTATTTATTTCTTATTATTTAGAGTAAGAATTGGGATTTATTTATATTTTTATTGTTATAAATAATGTTTTAAGTTAGGAGAATTATAAAAATTCTAAAAAATTATAAATGTATTATTAAAATTCATTATCAAGAACAATGAATGAATGTATTTTTTTATATTTTTCATAATGTATGTTATTTGAATTATTCAAATACTATTTTTTTATTCTTATGATATATATTGTATTATGATCATATATTATATTATTAGCAATTAATATTAAAATTATGCAAGATACTTTTATTAAATATAGAGGCAACTATTTTTTAATTATATGTATAATATATATTATAATATATACTAATATATACAATATATTCATATACTGTGTTTTTATATACTTTACCCTATTAATAATTTATATTTATATATTACATTTTTACATATTTTATTTTTTGCTTTAAAAATTGATATTATTTAATTTTACTATATATAAAAATATATTGTATATCTAACTTATTTAAAAATAAGATAACGTCCCGTTAAGCTATATGTAAGCTATACATAAATATACATATACATATATATGGCTAATATATCTATGGGAAATCTTTGAAAAATCAATTTTAAAAATTAAAATAAACATGAAAATGCAAAAATGTTGATTAAAGTTTATTTATTATTATAAATAAAATATATACTAGATGAAACAAGATTGTCTCATTGTATTTCATCGCATTGCTGTTTTTCCTCTTTATTACTCCTTATATATCATCAAGTTCTCACACAGCCATTTTTCTTCTGATAACGTATATGACAAATGTATATATATATATATATATATATATATATATATATATAATATTGTTTACCAAATAATAAAGATTGAAACATTTAAAAAGAAATTTTTTAATAAAATTACTTCAAATTTTATATATATTTAATATGGATCAAGAATATTATTCTACATTGTATAAATGGTAAATATATTTTTATAAAATCATAAAATTATAAAAAAAATAAAGGTTATGTTTCGTAAATAATTATATTTTATATTTGTATTTATATTTTAATATATTCAAAATAAAATAAAATTTATTATAATCATATTTATTATAATCAATGTATATATATTAATTTATTTAGTTTTTTAATTATTTAAATTTATAATATATAATTTAATATATAATATATAATTTATTATTTAATTCATATTTCAAGGTTTGAAAAATGTGGTGTAATATCAAATGTAAGAACGCATCTTCGTCAAAATTTAATAAATGCATTAAAAAGTAAAGATATTTTTTTAAAAAGTGAAGGTCCCAAATCTGCAAAACAGTACGTTTATGATTTACTAATAGCAGAATATTTATTTAATCACAATTATGCATATACTTTATCAGTATTTGCTAGTGAAGCACCACTGTTAATTAATTTTTCTAATAAGACAGTTCAAAGACCTGATGGCAATGAAGAGGATAATAATGAAAAATTACAAAGTGATTATATATTACATGCTTTGGAAACATTAGGTATTAATCCTTGTGATTCTAAAGGGCAATATGTTATATCACATTATATAGAAAGTGATATGCCTCTTCTTTTATGCATACTAAAATGCATAACTATGTTTTCTTATAATATACATAATGATATACCAATAAAAGAAAAAATATCTCTTTGTAATGAGTCTACACAAACTGAATTTTCTTGGCAAGCTCATAGTTTATATATAGAAAAATTAATTGCATTAAAAAAAAAAATAAATGTGCACAAACAAATGGTTAATAACAAGCTACGTGAAAAAGAAATGATATTAAAACAACAAACATTATTTATTGAGCAACAACTTGAAGCATTGAATACAAAATTATATCAAATTCAAGTAATACTAATTTTTATTTTATAATTAAATAAATGAAAATGAAACAATATAAATTTTTTTAATCAATAAATTTTTTAATTTCATAGAATGTCATGCATAATATAAGTTTAAAAGAAAAATTATTGAAAGAAAAAAGACAAACTAATGAAAAACAAATTTTACAAAGAGAAATGGAATTAGCATTGAAAGAAAGATTATTGTTGCAAAAAACAGATAGGTATATACATATATTTTATATTAAGTTTTTATAATAATTCTATAAATAATTATATATTTTTTTTATATAGATTACAAAAAGAACAAAATAACAAAAAAAAAGAACAAGATGTGAAAAAAACGCACGAACAAAAAGAAGTACAGACAGAACTTCAAGTTGAATCATTTAATCATTTTTTAAAAAACATGGAAGTACAAACGGACTTTGTAAACAATATGCAACAAGAACATAAAATTGAGATGCTTACTAAAGAAAAGGAAGAATTAAATGCTCTTATTCAAGATCAACAATTAAAAATAGAACAGATAACGCAACGGGCTCTTCAGTTGTCTCAACAAATAGAAGGAATACGTTCATTGAGATCAACTAATATAGAAATTCCAACACAAACTGTTAATATAAATACAATTATTAGTGAGAGTAGTTCAACAGAAGACATTCTTCAAGATGCAAAGTTGAGGCTTAAACGTCTAGAAGAAGAAAGTTTAAAAGCGGATCAATATTATTATAATTTTATCAATAATTCACCATAATATAAATCTTATGATAATCTAATAGAAATAAAATAAAACAAACAATTGAAATTTATAATACAATATTTATGTTTATATTTTTACATGTATTAATTATGTATTATGTATTAATTTTTCTCAATTTTTATGAATGAATCGGGAATTAATGAAACAAATGCATTAATGAATTTTTATTGAGATCATTGATAATTCCTATTATAAATTATATAAAATTTTAATTTTATATATACAAATTTAAGACTGAATAGAACATGTACCAAAGTGCTTTTGTTACATAGTTTATTTTATAAAATTGGACGTTAATATAATATACAAATTATTCACTATCTTTTTTTCTTTATTATTTGAATTCTACCTTAATTACATGCAACACCAAACGTAGTATATAAAATGTTAAGTCAAATTTTGTCTATTGTTGTACATCATCTTCGTTTGGGATCCGAACTTCTTCTAGTACTCAGAATTAAGGATCATAAATAGTATGTTTAAAATAATCGAGAATAAAAATTATTATTAATTTACAATTATATTATGTTAATTATTGTAATACTTTCTTAAATTTTTATGTATTATAAAAGGATATTGTTTATCCCTGCTTTCGCGTCCCTCTCGTTCATGAGTACGTTCCTTTGTGTAGGGTGACTTTTCCTGAAAATATATTCTCATATGAATCTTCTGAATGTCATGCTATCCTGCAATTGGCGTTTGGGTATTTGATAGTATCACCTAGTTTTTCTGGTCTTTGCTATTGTCTCCCATTTCGTCTTTTCAATGTACTCGAAGCGGACGTCTTTATCAACTAAGGGGTCAAGGAATAGTGTTAGAAAAATGATTAAAAAGTTAATTTATGGGTAGAATGTTTGGGACAAAATATAAAATTAATGTTATGGGATTTATGAAATAAAAGTGTGTTTTTTTAAAATGTGTTGTTAAATAATTTTATTAATGGGATTATTACGCGATTTTTTTTATTTTTTACGGGATATTTTTACTTTTTATGGGAAAGACAAATAATGACATATTTATGAGAATTAATTTTATGACTAATGATTAAAATATATGTACCAGACTGTATTTAAGACGACCATTCTAACAATATACAAATACCTTAGAAAATTTATTTAAATGTTATTCGAATAAAATATTCGAAATTATTCGAATGTATGTAAAATATTAATAAAGATATAACATTTTATATCCTTAATATATATATAAAAAAAATTTCAATTAAATTTACTAACCTTGTTATAATGGTGTTTTTCTCTATGTTCGGGAATATCACCATTTTGATGTGTTCCTTTTGCTGAAAGCAATTTTATTATTTATATAAAGAAAATAATTTAAAACATACTTTAAGTTATTAGAAAAATTTCGTACTTTTTTCGTCATCTTTTCTTCTTTTTTGTTCTGTTGTAACCGCTGATTCATCTGTTCTATCCTATGTTAACACGAAAAAAATGTTATAAATCATATATATTAAGAATTGTTAAGATATATTAAATATTCGAAATACCCTTTTCCGTGCGAATTTTTTTTCTCTACGCAATTCTTTTTGTTCATCTCTTATTTTGCCTTTACTGGAACGCTCTTTTTTATCAAGACTTCCTTCAGAACGTCTTCCTTCCTATTAACATTAAAAATCGGATTTTATATATATATACAGGAAAATTTCTTTAAAAATTTTAAATAATTTTTACCTTTTGTACATTTTCAACTTTTCTTCTTTTGGCATCTGAAATTAGAGATTATTAACTTTATAATTTAAAATAAATGTTTAATATATGTACTTTTTATCTTTTTTATCTGTGCCGTTTCTTCGACACGATTTTAGCTTCTCTAAAAAATACTATAAGAATATTAAATTACGCAATATCACAAAAAATATAATTTCTTAATGCAAACCTCTATCTGATCCATCTTGTGTTGGTCCAGAACTAGCACTACTATTTGATACACTAGAAAGATCACGATCTAAATTATCTACACCACTGCCATAATAATGTTCTTCCTGAAATTAAATTAATACATAACAATTTATTTATTAAATATCTAAATAATATATAATAATTTGTATAATGTATAATATATAATTACTTTGTAATATTTTCGATCTTTTTTATCTATCGTATCGTCTTCTTTAATTTCATCTTTTTTTAAATGTTTATCTTTTCCTTCTGAATTTTCCTTACTTTCTTCTTTTTTTCTAACTTTTTCGGAACTGTCACTATATTTAATAAAAATTTAATAAAAATTTCTGATTATTTATTAAATAAAAAATTAAATATGTGCAACTTACTGATGCAACTGATTTGATGCACTTCGTTTTTCTCGTTGATCTTTACTTTCCTTTTCTATCCTGGTATCGCCATTTGTAATTTCTTTATTCGATATTCCATCCCCAATTTTTTCCGAAGCATCACTATTTGAAGTGTCTTGTGTTTTTCCAGTCTATTAGTAAAATATAAAAATTGCTTTTCAGGTAAAAAAAAAAAAAAAAAAAAAAAAAAAAAAAAAAAAAAAAAAAAAAAAAAAAAAAAAAAAAAAAAAAAAATATTAAGACAAATATATATATATAATATACCTTATCTCCCACATGATGAAAATCTGCTTCACGAATCATATTTGGAGTTTTAGCTTTTAATTGACCACTATACGATGTAGCCAATACATGTAAATCCTGACGTTGTCCACGTTCTTCCTCTCTCACTTTTTCTACTTTTCGTTCAAGAATTTGAGATAATTTAGCCAAAACAGGAAAATGTGGCAATATTTTTATTAATATTATCAAAGAATTTCTTATTTGTACATAATCCTTAGAATCCAAACAAACTACAATCGCCTATAAAATTATATATTAATTTTATAATTGCATTTATAATTAAATCAATTTGAAATTTAAAAAAAAAATTAATATAAAACTATTACCTTTGTAATTTTATAATGCCATTTGTGACACACATGCCTATAATTTTCAAATCCTACCATATCATTTGCTTCAGAAAATTGATTACTAACACGGAATTTTGTTACGAATCCCGGATAATTACTGCATTCCTAAAATGAAAACAAATATATAAAATATGTTCTAAATTTATTCAGTATTATAAAATAATACCTTATCAAATATGGCTTTTTCAGAATGCCATCTCATTACTGTTTCGAGCATGGCGCATAAAAATCTTCCATAACGATTTGCTTCGTTTTCGGTACATGAGGTAACTGAATATGTTATATCACAGAAAAGCTGTAAGATGAAAAATTATATAATAAATAATATATTATTTAATATATAATTTTTAATAACATATTTTTAATAATAATTTTTTATTACTTGTTACTTACTCTGTCGTAGCAAAGAAGAGTTGAAAAATTCGCAGTCTTTAAAGAATGTATAGTATGAACGAATTTGGCGCAATACATGGCATCCACGGTTGTAAATGTACATCGAGGAAATAGACATAATTGTAAAAATTGCGTTATCGTTTCATTTTTTGCTGATTTTGCGCTTCGTGATAAAAACCATGTATCTTTTTCTTGTCTAATATATTGGTGATAACAACAAAATAGTGTTATAAATATATAAATAAAATATGAATATTAAATTAATCAAATTTTACCTTAGATATGCAAATACTTTTTCTACATGCTCTTCCTGCTTTCTCCTTTCATCTTGTAGTTTTTCAATTAAAGTTGTGTATCTTTCTTGTTCTTTCTTTCCCTTACTAACATTCTTAAAAAAAAAAAAAAAAAAAAGAAAAAGAAAAAGAAAAAAAAGAAAAAAATATATTAGGATTTAACAACAATTTATAAAAATTATTGTTTTCTAATGAAAAATATTAATATACCACATCTTTGGAATCAGCACTTTGTGCTGCAAGTTGTTTCAATTTATTGATTTCCCTTTGATAACTCTCGATAGGAACATATAAATCATACATAGATAAGGACCAAAATGTTACAAGGAATTGTGGCGAAATATCTTCCCATACTTTAAGTGGATGCAAAGGTCTAACTGACTGAGCAACAGGTGCCATAACTGCTTGTGCAGCTTCTGCATATTTTGCTTGTTTCATAGTAGTCGACATTTTTTTATAATTTGGGTCAGCTTTACGTAAAATATCATATTTAATCTAAAAATAACAAAAAAAGTTAATTGTAAATTATCTATTCTACAATTGTTTTTTTAATTAATTGCTTATAGTTGAATTCATAAAAATTGAAATTTAAAAAAAAATGCTTACATTAATTGCATGTGCAAACATGGGTCTTGCAAGAAAAAATGCTACATCAGAATGTATATGATTGTCTTGAAGCATTGAATGTATGGAAGGTAATCTTTCCACATATTCGTCTACCGTCATAGTAGATCCCAAAAATGTACCGAATTGAACTAATGTATCTTGACATTGATCATACAATTTTCCTAAGATTTTATATCAAATTAAATTTTAATAAATTTTTATTTGAGATATTAATGAAATAAAAACATTTTAAAAATCACTATAAAATATTTACCAACAAGTTTAAGATGAGATTTATCCGTTTCTCTATAAACAACACAATGTTTTTGCTGTGCCATTAAAAGGCATAATGCTACGGCGAGATCATGTTCAGCGAGAGCTTCTTTTAATCGTTGCGATGATTTTTTTGTATTGCGTACTTGACTAAAATAACCAGCCTGAAATGAAATTTTTTTTATTTTTTATAAATTTTTTTATAAATTTTATTTTTTTTATTTTTTATAAATTTTTTTATAAATTTTATTTTTAAAAAATATTACAAAATAATTTAAAAATTAAAGAAGTTTTTTTTATAAAATAATTGTTCTTTATATATGTGTACATATTAATAAATATGTTAGATAAAATTACCTCATTTTTTAATAAATCTCCTCCTGCCATAGCATCTAATTGATCTGATGTCATCTCTTCAGCAGCTTCAATACCCGCCATTTTTTGTACTATTTCTTTCAAAATTAATAAATCTAAACTGAAAATAAAAATAAGTAATAAAATGATTTTTTATTTCAAATTTATTACTTGTACTATACAATATTTATAA